TATTATAATAGACTCCTTTGACGTTTTGAAAGATATACTCTTTAAATTTGTAAAGCCTCCATTGCTCAAGAATCCTTTCCAGACTCTCTAAAAGTAGCAAAAATTACTCCTATGTATAAATCAGGTGACCATTGTAACATTACAAATTATCGTCCTATTTCAGTTTTTCCAGTTTTCTCTAAAATACTAGAAAAAAGAATATATAACAGAGTCTGCAATTATTTTGTTGATACTAAACTTTTATATAATAATCAATTCAGCTTCCAGAGAAACTATTCTACTGAACACGCCATACTTCAACTAACACGCAGCATTTCTGATTCTTTTAAAAATTCTCATTATACCCTAGGAGTATTCATCGATTTGTCTAAAGCTTTTGATACTGTTGATCACGACATTCTATTAAAAAATTAGAACTCTATGTCATTAAAGATAAATCCCTGAGCTGGTTCAAAAGCTATCTTAGTAATCGTAAGCAGTTTGTTAATATCCAAGACTCTTCTTTGCCTTTATTAATGAATGTAACATGTGGTGTCCCACAGGGATCCATAGTTGGGCCCCTATTCTTTTTAATATATATATATATATATAAATGACCTCAACAAAGCCTCTAACTTAACCACTATAATTTTTGCTGATGACACAAATCTATTCCAATCTCATGAAAACATAAATACACTTTTTGATAATATGACACAAGAATTAAATAAAATCTCATATTGGTTTAAGAAAAACAAATTGTCCCTCAATATTGATAAAACAAAATGGACACTTTTTTACCCAACTTCCAGAAAAAAATGTTTACCAAATACACTGCCCGACCTCTTAATTGATAATGCAATACTAAAAAGGGAAAAAGTTACAAAACTTCTCGGAGTTCTTGTAGACGAAAACTTATCCTGGAAACAACAAATCAATAATACCTCTTTGAAAGTTGCTAAAAGTATTGGAATTATATATAAAGCTCGACATATTTTAAATAAACAACTATATTTGTTCGTTTATCCACTGCCATTTAAATTATGCAAACATTGTATGGGAAAGCGCGCACAAAACTGAACTTAAATCTCTTTATCAGCATCAGAAACATGCAGCTCGCTGTAAATCGTTTTTCAAATTCAAAACCACTTCTGAGAGAAATGAAAGCCTTAAATGTATACGAACTAAATGTTTATAACATTTTATGTTTCATGTTTAAATGTAAAAATCATTTATCTCCTGATGTATTTATAAACCTTTATAATGTAAAACCCATAAACAAATACAATCTTCGCAATGGAAAAAATCTACAAGAACCTTTCTGCCAAACTAGATTTGAACAACTAATTATTTCTTATCGTGGTTCTTATTTATGGAATAAAATAGTTTTGCCAAGTTTTGATTTGTCATTGAAATGGACTTTAACTTCTTTTAAACGAAAATTAAAAGAAGTTATCTTTTCTGCAGAAAATATTTTTTCTTGTTTTTAGTTCTTTTGTTTGAGATATTTCATATAATTTATCCAGTATATTTATATTTTAAATGCACAATTATATATAGTTTATGTTGATTTATTTTTAATGCTTAATTTGATTTTGTTATTATTATTATATTTGATATTGTAAAGGGCTTCATGAGAAGATCGCAAACAGAAAATTAGACATGATCAAAAACTCTTTCGAGTATTTTGATAAATTTCATTAAAGTTACTATACAAATCTTTAGTACGTCCTCATTTGGAGTATGGAGAAACAGTTTGGAGTCCATTTTGGAAGAAGGACATTGACAATCTTGAACTCGTGCAACACAGGGCTACTAAAATCAAATCTTTAAGGGGGAAATTGTATGAAGAAAGAATAAAGATACTTGAACTGCCAACTTTGTATGATAGAAGAAGAGGTGATCTGATTCAAATCGATAAAATCTCAAAAGGTAAAGATGTTGTTAATTTTCACCACCATTCATTAAATTTTGAGCTGGAACAATCAAGTAGTAGTAACAATTGTAGAATTTGCAGACAATTTACCGATTCCAGAATTCGTCGCCATTTCTTCAAAAACAGAGTTACAAACGATTGGAATTCTCTTTCTCAATAGATAATAGATAAAGATAACTTAAACCTTTTTAAAAATAGCATCAATAAATATTTTGGTTTTTGAACATTATTTTTTGTAATCGGCTGTCATAGTCTTAATTCTGCGTAATTAAGACTCAACACACCTCAAGTGTGAACAGCATCTTTTCAATTTTATTCTATTCTAGTGCGATGGTGGATGGAAAGATTCTCACTGCTTTGTCTGATCTAAAAAATCAAATTATTTTTTTTTTAGTGTGTGGTGCCAACTCGAATGAATAACATTTAACTTCTTACTCAGACAAACGTATTTCCTGGCGATGGTTTAAAATATGGTCTATCAACATTACATGCTTTGATACGTTGGATAGAATGTCTCTTGCGCGTATCATACAAACTAGAATGTCTCTTGCGCGTATCATACAAACTAGAATGTCTCTTGCGCGTATCATACAAACTAGAATGCCTCTTGCGCGTATCATACAAACTAGGTATTAGAAAACATTAGATCAGAAGAGGACAAGGTTTTTATTAAATTAGTTATCAGAAAGAAAAAAATATAAGAACAAATAAAAGAACAGCTTGGACTTGCTATTGATGTCCTTAAGTCGGGTGGTTCAGGTACATCGAATGATAGAAGTATTAGAAGGCATTTTGAAAATGCCCAAATAATATCTAACATTACTGGTTTGATTAATGTCTAATTGAAATGATTTATGTTGTGTTGCAAACATTATCTTAGGATTGCAAATCGATCAGGACTTTTTGCAACATTTATACAATACATTATATAAATGTTGTATAAATGTTCCAAAAAGATATTTTTAAAAAAAAGCTTCTTTGTTCCTCAGATCTGCTCATCATTTTTTAGGAAAAAAAGTTCAATAATATTAAAAAAAACAAAAAAAAAAACATTTGATCCAGATGTGATACAACTTTTAAAAACACTTTTTTTTCCTGTTGCAGTAACATTGTAATCAAAACTTTCTTGAATATTTTAGAAAATTGGTTTTTGTGAAGAATCGAAAAAAATCGATTTCTAAGCAATTCAAGTATCCATAGCAACCTAAAATTCACCATTGAAACCATAATTCTTAAATTGAATTCTGGCCTATTTCGCTGAAACCGCAATCCTGAAGTGAACACGCATGTTCACTTCTCAATGTAATTCAACCGGGGCAACTGTTTGGATCTTGTAAAAATTCAATTTTGACTATTTTCAAATATCCATTTCTATGTAGAGACCCGATCCAATATTTTTTTGAATTAAATTATGATTATTAAATTAGAATTAATTTATTTGTTATTTATTTGATTAAATTAGAATTATTTTATTTGTTGATCAAAGATAATGCGTATGAATATTACGGTTTTAGTTAAATAAAATTTGATCCAAAAGAAATCCGAAAGAACAATTAGAGTAAGTTCAAGATACAGTTAACTTAGATTATCGCAGTTTATGCAAATGGTTCTCATAAACAAGGATGATTGCAAAACTATAAATTCATTTGTCACGATAAAATACTAAATAAAAATTTGGATGAAAAAATGCTGTAACGCTAAAAGTTACCTAATTAATTTATTCTTTAGTAATTTTATTTTAAGAATTAATTTTTAGAATAAAGGTAAATTTGATGTTCTTGGTGGTAATTCCATTTAAAAAATACTTCTTTTTTGCCATCGCCCTAAGCGTTGCATTCCTACTAAAAAAAAAAGGTTATTAATCCAATAATAATTTAATTTAAAAAAATATTTTTTACACAGTACATAAAATACAAAAGATTCAATATATGAAAGACTTATCCAGATATTGGGATCCAATGAAATCACTCTGAGATTTTACCTAAGTGCACAAAAAATATAAAACAGCGATGTTAATAAAAACGGACATTGCAATTCGATATGTCCAAAAATGTTATTTTTTACGCATCAAAAAGCAAAATTTTAATCACAGTAATATTCCATATTTCAAAATTTTTTTATAGAAAAACGGAGTTTTTTTCTTCTTTTATAGATTAATTTAGTTTACCGGTAATGAAGAGTTATAAACCAATAGTTTTTTTTATTGAACACTAAAGCATGTTATTATTTTATAACAATAAATAAAGGTTTAGGAGAGTTGTTTCTGTATACAGTTTACAGACGTAAACTGGTCAGTATTTTTTCAACAGTATACCTTGTTTACAATTCTATGCAATATATATTTCATAAGGTTTTTCAATGTTTTAACTAAAGAGATGGTTAGTGAAATATTGTACAAGCTTGTAGATGAAGCTTTATTTATATATATTTTTTCATGTTACCATATTACTATTATCAAAGGACTTTTTACTTTATGTAAAATAAAAATATTTTGTGATTTCAAGCATTAAAATGCATATCTGGTGGTATTTTTTAAATTTGTCATGTTATTTTATAAATACCTTTTTTTGTATCTCTATGCTATAGAGATACAAAAAAATATATATATATATTTATAAAAATATAAATATATATTTAGTATATATAATAAATATGAATTATAGTGATATGTTTTTTGCCGACGTGTTTTTTTTTTTTTTATTTATACAAATTGCATTAGATGTTTCATTTTTGTTTTTGTTAACAGATCATGCTGTATCAATTCTAACAAAATGGTTTTTAAAAATGTGTTTTAATTTCTCTTGAATTGTAATATAATAAGTATTATATTTATTTAATATATTTATATAGTTTTAATAGCTTTTTAGGGAGACATCTGTAAAGGAAAAAGCTATTGGAAAAACATGGAAAGCGTTTTGGCCCTACTTCGATCAAGAAGTAGAACATTAATCAATGATGAATCAATCACCCATTTTCATATTTAGATTTAGCTTCCTTTAAGTTAAATCAACAAGGGTATCTGATTGAAAAAAAAGTTTGGGTTAGGCCGAAAAGTTCTCCATGGTTTAATGAGATTTTTAATCAAATGGAGGAATGTGAATTTAAAGAGCATTTTCGAGTAAATCGTAACACATTTAATTTCCTAGTTAATGAATTGCATCCACATTTAGGCAAAACTACCACAACTATGCGAGAACCTATTTCAGTAGTAAAACGTGTTGCAGTTGCATTACATTACCTAGCTTCATGTGAAGAGTATTGTGTTGTGTCTAGCCTTTTTGGCATAGGAAAGTCAACAGCAAATTTATTTGTTCATGAATTTATAAATGCTGTTAATGACATTTTGCTCCCTAAATATGTTAAATTTCCATTGTCAGTGGAAAATTTAAATAAACATAGTAGAGATTTCGAAGCTATTCTTGGTTTTCCACAATGCGTTGGAGCTGTTGATGAATGCCACATCCCTATTTTAGCCCCTAAAGATCAAGCAATTTCTTATTATAATTATAAATGGTATTCAATTGTACTTTTTTCCGTTGTAGACTGTCGATACCGTTTCATTTATACAAGTGTTGGATCGCCTGGTAGAAATAATGATGGTAGAAATTCAGCATTTCCTTTAACGCGTCATTTGTTAAAACCTTATCCTGAAAATTTGGAGCTTAGTGAAATTCAAAAAGATTTCAATAAAATACTTTGCGGAGCTAGAAGAGTATTGAAAATGCTTTTGGGCGCGTTAAAGCTCGATTCCGTGTAATTTGCAAACGTATGGAATGCGATATTAACTTGGCTACAAGAATTGTTAATGATTGCGTCACTCTTCACAAAATTTGTGAATATTATGACGATATTATTATAATAGAATGGCTTATGCATCATCATGATGACAGTCTAGCTCAACCCAATACAGTTTCTACAACTGGGAACAATGGACCAGAAAAAAATGTTCGCGACTCAATTGCTAAATACCTTTATGAAAGGGACAAGTAAAGTAGTAATAATATTATTTATTATTTAAAGCTTTAGCTGTAATGTGGTTATGTATTTACTTACTTTCCTTGAGGTTATCAAATGTGTCTAAATAAATAAATATTAAATATGTATGAACACAAAATGAGATTAGTTTTAACTGGTCGTGGGTAACATATTAATGTATAATATGTTTATTCGGTACTATACCACTGATGGACTACTATTCTGTGTCGTCAAAAGCGACTAAAGGAGATATGACCTATCCATAAAAGCCAAAAAACGGGATAACAAAATTCCAACGTCACCTTTTGTATGGCGGGTATTTTGGGTTGGGTTTCTATTGTCTAACTCTGAGCTAGCTAAACCCTCAGCGTTATTTGTATTTTACCTCTCATAAATGTTTAAATGTTAAAAATTAATAAATTATATTAACAATGTGTATTTGCCAAACTGTTTGTCACTAATTTTAATTCGAGTTTTACCTACCGTTTTTTTACTCGTTTTTTCTTTTATGTACCGTCAAGCCAATTTTACATGTGAACGCTACAAGTAACATTTTGTGGAACATTTGTTCCGGAATAATATTCCGCCGAACATCGCTAGTGTGAACATGGTATTAGGGATTGTCTGTAAAGTACGTACACTCGGAGGGGAAGAGGGGGTCTACATTGGGCGTATAAGATAGGGGGAAGCGGGTCAATTATAAAAGTAAGGAGTCACTAAGTTAAAAAAAATATCATAAAATATTGAGTAGGTAGATTAAAAGCGTAGATACATTTAGGGAGGTGGAAGATACTCAAAAAAGCATATGGCAAAATGCGGAGGGGGTGGGGTAGGTCGTATTAAAGCGTACGTACTTTATTGACAACTAATTCGGTAAAAAAATATTTAAAAAGTTTTACATTTCTTGAAGATTTTCCCCGATTTTAAGTAAAATCGTATTTCCGCTTAGTGACGCAGTGTCATAAAATAGTATTTTTATACGATGATGCAAGGGGTTTGCGAGAATCCATAAAGTTTTATCATATATTAACCGTTTAAATTAAAATAACATAATTGAAAACATCATATTATGCTAAAGATTATCTTTCAAAGACAGGATTAACAGAAAAAATTTGAAGAGCATTATAAAACTATTTATAAAGTTTATATAATTACATGTTAGCTAATACACTTTTAAAAGTTGAATAGAGTAATAACATTTTAGTTTTGAAAAACAGCGTACTTATTCATATTACAATAAAATGCATAAAAAATTCGTCATATAAATAAAAAAAAACTCGTAACTAAAAATATTTAAAGTTAAGAATCATAAAGAACAATTTTTTCCAAAAAATATCTTACAAACATTTTACAAATCAAGTTATTTAATATGGAAAAGGAAAAAAAAAAAACACAGTAAAGAATAACATGCTTTTGTAAATAAATTTGTTTTCAGAGAAATGTTTAATAGTATTAGCCCTTAAATTCAAGCTCATTTTTTAAATAACCTTGAAAAAATTTTGGCTTTTTATTCTTATCTATTTTAGATTATATTACCAAATAAAAAAAAAAAAATTTAATATCTTTTTTTTAGTTTTAAAGAATTCTATTCCATGTATATATATATATATATATATATATATAAAAAAAAACTATTTACAAAAATAAAAAACAGTTCAATAAATTCATTACAATAAAATAAAATACAAAAGATTCAATATATGAAAGACTTATCCAGATATTGGGATCCAATGAAATCACTCTGAGATTTTACCTAAGTGCACAAAAAATATAAAACAGCGATGTTAATAAAAACGGACATTGCAATTCGATATGTCCAAAAATGTTATTTTTTACGCATCAAAAAGCAAAATTTTAATCACAGTAATATTCCTAGCACGGTTAGTGTGGACAATAGGTATTGGACATCGACGCCCATCAAGTCTACGTGTCAATTTAACTGAAAATGGCAACCAAACCTTAATCACTTTGTCAGACAGATTTTTATGTTAGAGTGACTGATAGCTAATTGTTTTGCTAGAAAAATTGTCAAGTATACAAAAGAGGCGTTTATGTCCTGCAAATGTTTCGGGACCTACATTAGTATAGAAGTTAAATAACTCTTGCACTAAAATAATAAATATTTATTTACAAATTGTTTAGTTAATAATTTACCTATTAGAAAATATTAGTCATTATGACTTAAAGTCCATTAAGATAACTCAACTTTGAATTAGTCGAATTTAGTAGAAATAAATATCAATAAGAACTCAAACCGTGTTTCTCGACATCAGTGGAAGCGTAGTTGTTTCTAAACACTGCTGATATCTCTGCTACTGTTCTGCCTTTGGTTTCAGGAACAAAATAATATGTAAACAAGAAAAATAAAATAAGTAGTATTTCGAACGGAATAAAGGTGTAAGGATGGATTTTATCCTAAAAACATATTTAAAAACATTTTTTTTAGTTGAGGTAATATTATTTATATATATGGGTATATGTTTATTAAACATTAAAATACTTTTGAGCAAAAAAGTTAAAAAAAAAACAACATTTTTTACCATAGTATTGTTTTAAAGTTATAAGGGTTGTATAAACGTGTTTTGACGTTTATTTACAGTCCTGTTGTGTAGCGTTAAAATTTTCATATTAACGCTTCACAACAATAATATGAAATAAATTGACATATTATTTGATATTCTTCGCTGCAAACACAATATCGTTATTATATGCAATTTTATATTATATGCAAGGAAGTTCCAACATACTCTGAATCTAACTGTTCTCATTGTTCTATTTCTCCGATCGGTAATTATCCTGCAATTTTATAAATTCCTGAAATAGAGTAAAGTTTATCAGAGCTCAAAGAATTAAAGTTGGAATTAAAAGTGCTTATCAAATACATTGTATAGACAAAAAAGAACATACTCGACTAACTAATACAAAAGAAAAAATAGTTAAGAGTGCTAATCAAAAGTTAGAGTTTACAAAATTTTATGAGGAGCAGAATAAGAAAGCAGAGTTAAGTATTAACCAGTTTTTGAATGAAGAAATTGATGTATATGTTATTGATAAAATAAGTGAATCACCCAATTAATTTATTAATGTCAAAATCGATGATAAAATAAAAGACTCAGTCATTAATACAAACCACTTTCTTCTTCTTGCTTAAAGAGTTTTGAGATATGGCAAAAGAAACAGAGAAGTTGCTACTATTTCTTCTGCAGTTCTTGTAGATCTTGGAACTGTTAATGAAAAAGACAATAAACTGATTATTGACCACCACAAGATTCATAGGGAAAAGAATAAAGTAATGGAAAAACTCTAGAAGGATGATTTACTTTTGTATCAGTCAGATGAAATAAAAGCATTATTTTTTGATGAGGAAAAAAATTTAACTCTTATTAATGAACAAGATGAAACAGCATTAAAATACTATTCAAAAACAATAAAGATGGACTTCTATACTGTCACTAGTGAACCAGGAGGAAAATGTATTTATATAATTTCTCTCCTCTTAAGCCTAGCCTTGAAGAAAAACCAGCATTAATGATAGTCAAACCTATAGCAAATTGGTGTAAAAAATTTAATATAGATTTACAGTAAATTGGAGTAGATTCTACAGCTACTAACACCGGTAGATTTGGTGGGGCTATAAAAAGAATAAAGTATCTTCTTAATAAAAAGTTAACTTGGATTATATGTATGATGAATACAAATGAGCTTCCTGTTAGACATCTTATATAAGATCTTGATGGAAAAACAACTTCCAATAATGGATTCAGTGGAGTTGCGGGTAAAGTATTAAGTTGTGCTACATTACTTCCAGTTGCTCAAGATTTTCCAATAATAACCATTGGTAAAAGACCGATTGAATTAAATATGTGACTGATGATCTTTTAACTGATCAGCTCTGATTAGTTCAGGTAGCTTACCTATAGATCTTAAGAAGATGGAATGCGGTCGTGTTAATCACAGCAGATGGTTTACCACTGCAAATAGACTGCTACGAATCTGAGTCTCAGTTCACGGACTGTCTGGGCAAAAACTTATTAATTTAAGTTGCATAGTTGAGTATGTTTGAACCAATTCAAACATGCAGCTTTACTATTGAGACTATTGTTATTTTTAAAGTAAATCCCATGATTCCTAATTCAAAATCATGCCCCACACAAAGTATTAAATAAGCTGTAAAACAGACAACAAAAGCTTGTACTTCTTTTCATGGACATGATTCAAGAGATGGGTTTATTTGAGCAGATTGCTATTGCCGAAAACTTTAACCTAATAAAAATACAAATAAGGACTTAAAACAGATTGTTTTTTAATTTTTATATTTTGAATGTGACTACTTAATGAGATCATCCATAGAAAGATTTTTGTAAAAACAACTTTTTTTTACCCTTCTTGTCTAGACATTTCTTTTTAATAGCAACACCTTCCCAGGGTGGCCACACTTTTTTTGTCTGAAAAAATTAGGATAATTTAGGAGATTTTTAAAGGTTTTTAAGGTGATTTATCGGGAAACTTGAAAAAAAAAAAGGATAAAAATCTTAAAAAATTTTCATTTTATATTAAAACTGTAAGAATGCCTAGCTAAGATAAATAAGATAAAATTAGGGCTTAAACACTTGCAGTAGAAATTAATCAAATTTAACATTGCACTAAATAGATGACTTTATGACTAAGTAACAACCAATAAATATTCAAAAATCATTAAAATACACAGCTAATTTCAAAAACTAAACTTTATATTTCATATTATCCAGCCAAAAAAAAAAATCTATTCAGAAAAAAAAAATGGAAAAAAAAATTTAAACATTCAAATCTAAATCTCAGCTTTCTTGTCAATAAGTACTTTTTTTGCTGCTGTAATTTTTTCTAGTAAGTACTGCTTTTCAGAGGCAACCCTCTTTAGTGCATTAGATTTTAGAATGATTGACTTAATTTCTATCAATGATTTCTGCTTTCGGTTTGCAATGCATACTTATCTGCATCATATCTGAGCTGAATTATGGTACCTTCTAGGGTGTGAATTTGAAATCTTTTTATTAATATTTTTCAGTTTAGTATTACGGTCAGTTTTCAAGACTTTCGGGACTTTTTTTTCTGACTGCTAAAGTATAGTTTTCTTGCATCCTTGACATGTCCCATAAGTTTAGTTGTCATAGCCAATTAGGATGATTTTATATTTCCACAGCACATGTGGAAATATACGGTTATACAGTTATACAGTTGTTGTACAGTTCTCTGTACAACAAGAGTATCAACATATTATTATCCAGAAAATGAACGTTTGTACTAAAGTTTATACTACTTGTGCTTGGCCATGGGACAATATTAGTAACAATAGGTCAACTTTTATTAAGTCCTTGAATCTTGAAGCATCTGTATATTAAACCAATAAAAAAATCCAATCTACCACTTTCTTTTTTGAACCCAAAAAATTTCTCCTTGTTGACTTTTGCAACAGTAGTTTAAAATTGTGAATACTGCAATTTGGCTTGATCAGCAGCTGAAGTTACCTTTTTATAATCAACTAATTTCAGCAACAACTTGTCAAAATAAAGTTCACACACCTCATGAGATTCCACCATGTACAAAGGTGATAAACACGTTAAGTATCTGGTAAAATATGAGTTTAGCGCACTTTTTTCAACTATATGTTTGCACATTGTAACTAAAAACTGTTGAACTTCTGTTTTAAAATTATATATTTGTGCATCAGTAACTTTTTTTCTCTAGATTTCAGTTGCTGCAACTCATACTTTATTCCAAACCCAAGATCAATATTCATGACCAACACTTGATTTTTGACATCAATGATATCAACTTTTAATAATTTAAAAGTTAAGGATGCTTCAGACAAAACTTCTTTACTGATAAAGTTTGATAAAAATAGCATCAGTAAGTTCTCAAATGTTTCCACAAGAAAAGGTGTCATAGGACTGTGGGTTTGGAAAATTAACAAGTAAGAATTTAACAATTTTGCAGTTTCCTTAAAAAATTGCATTTTTATAGGGACTAACACATCTTTATAGCATGATGAAAGGTGTTCATAACTGTTATTTTGCTTACATTGACCAGGTTGCTTGCTTTTTTGGTAAATTTTCCAAAAGTCAACAATCACGATAATCTTGGGCCACATTTCTATAGCTTTCTTTGCTACTTTCTCATTTACAATCCAACGATGGCTACAGAGCTTTAGAGCAAAGTCTGAAGACTAAGCTGGAGTAAGATTTTCGAAATCCATCATGCAAATCCATCTGACTTTTCTTGGTTGTAAGATTCATCAAATTGGCTAACAAACTGATCAAGCTCTCACAGATCAATGTCTCACAGAAAATTTCCTTAAAATATGGTGCAATTCCGAAGCACACAAGATAAGTGCACTTTGTTTTCCCACAAGAAAATTGTTTAGCTATTTGACTATCGCTAAACATTGCAGTAAATAATTCAGATTTGTTTGCACTTGATCAAAAAGAATGTTTTGAAAGCAAAACATCAACTGCCCACAGTATCTCTGCTTTCTTTGCTAACTGCAACTCTGCAACAAATACAATAGAAGATTGCTGTGGATACAATACCGCTTTTAGGCTAGCTGGTGGTTCTACAACAGTTTTTAATGCATATTTATCAAAGACAGGCATACATCATTTATGTTTGTTACCATTGGCATGTTTTTCCAATGCCTTTGTATCCAGACCTGCAACAGATATAACTTTCAAACATACCTTACATTTTACCGAATACAAATCGTTGGGACATTTTTGCAGGCTTGGCCAGGAAGGTGTGCGATTTGAAGTCTTTATATGACCGTGTAAAAAATTTTTTATTTTGACAATTTAACCACGGTTTTTAACAAATGCGCTTAAAAAATTGGTTTTTAATTTTTTTGAAAATAAATAGCTTCGACAAGTTTATCTATAATTTATCTATACTAATGTTTTTATATTAGAAAAACACTTTTAAATAAAGTAGCTAATAATTTTAATTAAAGTTGTATAAATTTTTATTTATATTACTTAATTATATAAGATTTTTTTATAATTAAAATTAAAAAAAAAAATTAAAATTATAAAAAAATATTTTTTAACTTTATAAGCGACAACTTTAAACAGCAATGGGCTCTTTTATAAACTTGCTGTATAATATAAGTATCATTCACTCGAAAAGTTGACCATAATTGTTTATATGTTTTAAAGATTTATACATTTCAGAAACGCTCTGAAAATAGAAATGCTAAGCTCAACTAAACTAGGAAAAAAATAAAATTATAATAATAATAAAAAAATATTCATAACATAACATAACATAACACTTTTTTTTATTGCATTAAATTGTTAAAACATCAAAATAGCCATGGTCAAATTGTAAAGAAAAAAACAATTAGCTTGGTCAGTTACAGAGTGCGATCACACGGCATTCCTGTCCAAACCTGATATATATATATATATATATATATATATATATATATATATATATATATATATTGGATTGAAATGGCATGCGATCGCACTTTGTAACTGACCACGCTAATAATTTTTTTTCTTTACAATTTGACCACAGCTGTGCAATGTTTTAACAATTTAAATGCAATATATATATATATATATATATATATACATATATATATATATATATATATATATATATATATATATATATATATATATATATATATATATATATATATATATATATATATATATATATATATATATATAATAGTAAAAACACATCTAAATTTTAGTTTTCTTCCACATGTTTTTCCATCAGTAGGTTCATCAGGAAGCAAAAATTATGTTAAAGAAAACTAAAAATTAGGTAAGTGTTTTTACTAATTTATTATTGCTCTGTTCTTTAAGAATATTGAGCACTCTATTTGTAGAATACACTAACATAATTTATATATATATATATATATATATATATATATATATATATATATATATATATATATATATATATATATATATATTTACAAAACTCTCGGAATTAGGATCAGCATTCGGCAATGTCGACCTGACAGCTGACCTAAAAGTGTTTGAGGTCGGCAAAAAATTGCTGACTTTGTTTCTATGTTTTATGGTAAGACCTTTGTATCAAATTTTTTTTTGCCAACCTGATGCCGACTTGAATTTTCCAAATTCCGAAGGTTGATATAAATATAAATAAAAATATATATATATATATATATATATATATATATATATATATATATATATATATATATATATATATATATATATATATATGAGCAATTCCACAACCGTCTCACAATAAATGAAAAAATTAAAACAAGCCAATGTACATAATGCTATATATCAGTAGAAAGCTCTCCTTTTTCAGAAAATGTATAGCTTGTTATAGCATGCCGCTATTATAAAAAATAATATGGGCTGAAACAGAATGTAAAAATAGGTGTTTTTACGAACATTTAATTCATTTTTAATTGCCAAAGTTCAATTGAACCTATCAAAAATTCAAAAACTGTCTCGCTCATTGCAATCAGGTTTTTAGTTGCACTAATCATTGTTACTTATGATAAAAACATGTTTTTTGCTAGACTAATTCAGAAAACCATTTTTTTTTTAATCAAATGTTATTACCACTATTATCACGCTGTGACAGTTAGGGTACCAATAGTTTTATTTCTAGGACAACCAGTAAAACTTAGGATTTCAAAATTCCAGCGCAATGAGAAATCTATCTAGTACATCTAAAAAAATTTTAACATGTTTAAAAAAATAATTACCTTATGTGATTTTAAGAATTTTTAGAACGTTTTAGATTTTGTCACACCGTGACAAAATTTAAAACAATATTTAAAACTGCTAAACTGAAATCACAATTGAGTTTTTATCAACTTTAATGACCCAGATTATTGTGCGACATTCTTTGACGTTTTCTACAAAAGCTACAAAATATAGATATTTTCTGCATAGGCAACACTTGGAGGATTAATGCTCAGCTATCCTTGAGACTCTCTTTTGGCATTCATAGAGCCTCTCTAAGGGATAGTTGTAACTCCATTGAACCTTAGATGTAATACGTGCAATCTCCATAACTACTATGTTGCTTTTAATTGTTTTTAATCTTTTAAGGGTTTAACATTTCTTACTCACGCTGAACGTCAAAAGAAATATTGTGAAAGGCAGTTAAAAAAGTTTATTGAAAAAGTAGTTAAAGAAAAAGAATCAAAAAACAACGAGAAAAAAAAAATGCTACGAAAGAGAAAGAGCTGATGATCTTTACAGCACCTATTCAAAATCTTTACCTTCATTTCTTTGGCATTATTTTATTAAACAGAAACAATTAAAGACATATCATGATCATA